GCCTGTTAGGCTCAATTCAGCTGAGTCTAGCAAGCATTTTATATTTTAGAGCTTGTTGTAATGTTAGACGAAATGTAGGAGTCCGTTTTGAGATGCATGGCTTGAGTTATTTATTCCTCAATTCAACTCAAATCATTGAATTATTGGCACAAGGATGTGTTGGAGGATTTAATATGGTTCTGGTGCCACTTCTTCAAGGTCCTTCTCACTGTGCATGGTGACTAAATCTACTTCCCCAGCTTTGTTTATCACAGGTCCATGTATTAATTTTTTTATAAGCATTATCTAAATAATGATAACGGTCTTGTTATGTTTCCACATTGGATCATTTTTCTTCCTACAAATCCTATTAAGAAAGAAAGAAAGCAGATAAGTAGCACTGTAAAACCCAATGATTACAGGTTTTGGTATTCACTGTTACAATACATGAGGCAAACAAAAGGGAACTCGCTCCAGTAATAACAATAGATGTTGTTTTCTTGGTTGTCTTTGTTACACATGTAGATCAAATGATCGGGCAATAAAAATACTTAATTAGGGAAGAGTAGAGAGTTTTTCAGATTGTTCAAGGAAAGTATCCACATAATCAGCTTTATATTTAATGATTTAGGCAAATCCATTCACTATCGCTATTACCATTAATAACAAAATCATATGCAACAATATACTTACATTTTTTACACTGTAGCATTTGAATTCACATTTGTGCCAAGTAAATAAACAAAACATGCTGTTTTGAAATTATGAATTCATTTATTAATGCGAAAAAGTTATCCAAAGAAAAATAAAGGTCATTCCCCTTCGTGCCACCTGTTGCATCACCTCCAATCGAGAATTTGCAATAAGTACCAAGGAGTGTTTCAAATTGTTGTTGAGAAATTTTGACCCAGGATTATTGGTAATCAGGAATAGTAACTTCTCTGTATGCAAGTTCAAACTTTTACTGGATCTATATTCCTCCTGCATGAGGTTGGTTAATAAATGTAATCCCGACTGAAAACTGCCTTTTGTTTCAGGTCATCTCTATCTAATATAATATAACAGATGAAATCTTGAAATATAGAAATAGACATAAGTATGCTTTTTGGACAGTTTTGTCTTTGTTCTTACTTTGATAAACCCATCCTGCTCTCATTTTTAGACAGCCGATGTTTATTTAACAGTAAAATGTATATATTTATCTCAATAGCTGCAGTCTTACAGCATCCTTTGATATATTCATGAACCACTGTTACCTCGACTTTACCTTCCTCACTTTTAGAGTGCACCAAGCCAAAAAAGAATGGAAGTGTTTTGCCCCGCAGACACGTCTGTTTGCATACCTCACATCATTGCCTCTATTTCAGGCTTGTTGAGATGTAGAGGGGGGTTCTCTGCAGGGCATTTCTATCCAAAGCTGCAAGGACTGACTGCTGAAACATGGAAGGGTGACAGAAACGTCTCTCACTGCTCTGTAACACATCTCCTTTGGCTAATCTGTTTCACTTGTGTTACTGACTAATGGATGAGTTTGAGCTGAATATTATGCAAATTATTTGATTTATAGGTTAGGGAATGTCTTAAATCAGAAGACTTGCTCTGCAGGCGGTTTGGATCCTAATGGAACATGATAAATACTATAAAACTTTGGGGGGAGGGTAGTGTGAATTAAAAAAAATATATTAATCTTCTTATAATTCCTGTCACATTGTCCTGGCTCTGGTTCAGGTTTCTGATTGCTGATTGGATAAATGTCAGCATATGGAGATGAGACAGAGGAGAGCAAGACAGCAATGCTTTGGACCTTGAAGTGGCTGCCAAGACCAAAAAAAACAATAAAGACTGAATTAAAGATGTGATATTCATAAGTAGTTTGCTTTTTACAGGCTTCCTCATTTACAATATCTTAGCAATTCCTCACAGAGATTACTTTGCGGACAATTTCTGTGGAGGTCTGATAGTTCGCTAAACAGGGCAGCACTTTCACACCATCTAGTGTTGGGAAAAAATAGTTGATTAGGAATTCCTCTCACATCAGAAAATGATGTGCTGGTTGGCTCGCTCCATTTGATTATTTGACCATCTCTGTGCAGAATAATTTAGTGAGCATGTAATGAGTTTGACTCTAGAAGCCTGTTTGCTGAGCAAATTGTCTCTGCGATCAACTTTTTAAATTCACAAACTCATTTAGAAGCAGCTGTGGTTCAACAAGCATCTAGTCTTGTATAATATTCAACCACCGGGAATCTGAGAAGATTTAGTCAGTCAAATCTACTAAGCATTGTGTGTTTAATGTGATACTTTCCTTTCAGATATTAGAGGCAAACGTATTTCTCTCCAATCCCAAATGTGAGCTCTCTCTTTTTGAAATATAAATATAAATTTACTATGACTTTTATTGTTGCTTATTCTGAAATTACCAAACCGTTTCATTAACATTATTCTTACAAATGTAAGAATGTGTTCTTTACTTACTGTTAAAAAAGGGGGTCTGTTCTAGCTTTCAGCTGTTTATTGGTCTTATTAGCTCTGTAAATCTGTAACAAAATTACTCAGCAATGAAAACAGATATCCAAATTTCTATTGGAATGCCAACTTTATTGCTGAACAAAGACAAACACTTTAATTTGTTTAACAACTGAGCCATGCAAAGCTCCTGAGCAATTTTGCATCTCTGTACTTTATACTTCCTAGGTCCTACGACTTCTTCCAGTCCTTTCAGGAAGTTTTGAACAAAATTGCAAAGACGCAATGATTTAAAGGGACAAATAAAAAGAGAAAATAATTGTCTATTGCTGGTAAAATCCCACAACTGAACTCAACACTGTGAAGAATTCACCCATCATTCATGGTCAAGGAAATCTCTTGCCGATACATGTGGCATTAAACAATATGGAGGAAAAATAAAAACCAGTATTAGATTAGTTCAGGTCTCTAGGAGTAAAACAAATTATCAACTGTACTGGAGAGAAAAGCAAATTATTGTCATGCAATCTGACAATAATAGTGCTTACTGGGAAACATCTGCTGCTGGTAATTTTCCTGCATAACAGTACATTTATAAGTACTCCCTTTCAAAAGCATCTAATGCATTTTGGGCAACTTCTTTCTGTCATGAAGCTCCTTCTCTACATAGTAACAAAATCAAAGCAAAGCTGACTTATGTGTCACTCAGGAAATATTTAACTTCTCTGTCATTTATCCAGCATGCATTTTGAGTAGCAGGGTGTATATGAAAGGACAGAAACACTAAAATAATACATTTTCAAACCAAAAAAATGAAAGAAATCAAATAATTAATCTCTTGTAAAGCTGAAACAAATATAATTTTTCCATGAAATACTTCAGCTTTAATGTTTAAATATCCCTTAAATTGATTTTAAATGATAAATGACATATTGTTTTCACTTAAATTCAAAATTGTGTTTCAGATTTTGAAAACTGACTTGTTTCAGTTCAGAAAGAGATGGCCTACTTCAGTAACCGGAATTTGCTGTTTATTTTCAACCCTTGTCTCCAAGATAGTGTCAGTTGACAATTACCTGAAGAACTCCTCTCCTGTTGCAGCACCTCAAAGAAGAGGAAGGGGATGTTAATGAATGCCTGTTCTAAAAACACTCATATTTCTCAGGGTTTAGAACATAACCAACATGTTCAACACGTTGGCAAATCAGTTACACAGCTGGAGGCTTTGCATGGCTGACTCTGAAAGATATCACGGCAGCAAGAGATATCATCTCAAGAAAACATGACATATTTAGCAGAAAGGGATTCTTCTTTTTTAAGACGCAGCTGACACATGCAGATAGGCCTATTTTTTATGTTTTGAGGCAAATGAAATCACAGAAGAAGTGAGATACGAACCAGTCTGGTAACACATATGCAAGATGATTTAGTGACAGATTCGCAGACACATAGCATTGTAAAGATTTATGTCGTCTTGCTCTATCAGTTTGTCAAAAGTTCCTCCCATAAGATAAATAAATTCTAAATAATAATGAAAATCAGAAAATCTTTGATTTCCGGTTCCCTCTTCGTCCCTGACAGACGCCCATATTTGGTCACAACCAGTTTCCTCCTTTCTCACATTAACAGGATTAGGTGTTATACCCTCTTTTTTTATTCCAGTCTGGCAGCCGAATATAACGTTACTCATCATTATATACATTCATTTTACAAAAATGTTACTCCTATAAATGTGAGTTTGTATTTTTTATATTTTTCTAAAATAGGGTTGCATTATTTTTACACATTGTGCATATTGTGTTTTCTCATATATTTAGATTAACATAAATACTGACAGTGGAAAAAACTAATTAGTTGAGTGAAAAATGAACCTTATCACAACATTGAAACAAAGAAATGTGTGATGGTTTCAAATTGGAGCTTTGCAAAAAAGTACATGGCCAAACCTGTCCTGTTTTGATTTCATTCTAGAAGCACCTTAGTCCCTGATAACGACACAAATTAAGATCATTTGTAATAAATAATTGAACACTGGCTCACCAAGTGATATTTGTTCCATCGAACCAATTCAAGGAAATCATCTGTGGGTGAAACATCTGATATATTCTGTCTCTTTGTGTCTGGTCAACTATTTCAGAGTTTATTTGGTCGTATCGTTTGGATAATTATCAGTTTGATAATCCTGGTACAATTTTTATCTCATGTCTCCAGCCCTACTTGAATGGCTTATCACTCTGTCTTAGTACAAATATCCCACAATCTGTACATGACACAGATCTGTGTCACTGTTTCTATATTTTCCATTAACATAAATGTGAAATACTGTGCAAAACAGTGACACACAAATGTTAACTTTCTTGTAGAATTTCAACAAGCAGCCCTCTTTCTAAGTCAAACATTGAAGGCATTCAGATTGGAATAATATTGTTATTCATCCATTAACTCAGGAGGACTTCCTTTTCAGTTGAGCAATGCAAAAAAGGGAGAGATTTGAAGGCTTTAAATAGAGATCCAGAAACCCATTTCACTGAAGCAGAAGTCAAGAGAACCTCAGAGATTCATTCGACATTCGGTTGTGAAATAAATATACCTGGTTGTCTTCTGTGCCCAAGATGTTCATAGATGAGAGGATTGTGACTCTATTCAAACAAAACGCCCATCACACGCTGACTTATTGGAGCGTTTTCTTCAGCTTTGGACTATGCATTGCTTTTCTTGGACCTACAATATTGGACTTGCAATGTCAAACAAACTCAACACTGAGTCAGATCACCTGGGTCTTCTTTTCTCAGCAGTTCTGCTTGTTGATCGGCAGCTCGGTCGGTGGCGTTTTCAAGAGAACGTAAGTATCACTGAACATGTAGGCGTCAAGAGATTTGTCTTCATTTTAACTGTGTCTGTCTCTGTCTCTCTCTTTTTTGTCCTTAAAGGTTATTCAGTGCTCTAGCTGCCCTGTTTGTCTCTGCTCTTCTCATCTCTGTAATATTTGCCATCATTCCTGTATGCAATAATGTCCTCGTACTGGCCATCGCCATGGCTGTGTCTGGTTTGGCAATGGGGGTTATTGACACCATTGCTAACATTCAACTGGTCACCATCTATCAGAAGGACTCAGCCATTTTCTTACAGGTAAACTAAAGAGACGCTCATTTAAATAATAGAAAAGGGAGATATGCTGCTGTTCTTCCAAAACTCTGGTAGTTTGACGTTCCTGCCCTGTATGTACTTCTGCAGGCTCTGCACTTCTTCATCGGGTTTGGAGCCCTGGTGAGTCCACTGATTGCAGATCCTTTCCTCTCTGAGACAGGCTGTGGGAATCATACGGGGAACGAGACCGAGATCATGCATCATTTCAGAACCATGCTGAGATACAGTCCAATTGCAGAGCACAACATAACTCAGAGCCACCTGCCTCATGATGGAGTGGAGAAGGAGGAGCCAATTGTGCAATATGCTTTCTGGATCATGGCGCTTATTAATGTAAGACACTCGGCAGGCATACGTTAGTCGTTATTTGATTTTCACTTTTTATTTCTTTAATGGAAATTTGTTTTTTTAATTTATTTTTTGTTTTTTCAGCTGCCTGTGCCCATTGCTGTGCTGTTTCTCATGTATCGGGAGAACTTACTCCCATGCTGCCGTGGCAGCTCTCCACGTCTTTTAGACAAGGATGAACTAGCAATGGAGACCCAGCAGGGGGCCGAGGGCCCAGACTTGGAGCAGAAGGAACATGAAGCTGGAGGTATGCATGTGAAAGATATATATATATATATATATATATATATATATATATATATATATATATATATATATATATATATATATATATATATATATATATATATATATATATATATATATATATATATATATAGATTTTTTTTTTTTTGCTTTCACTTTAATTCATCTCACATTCCTTCACAAATAACAAATACGTTGTCAGGAAATATGAAAACAAAACAATGAATGCCATTTTCTGCACACCGATACATCATTTCTGACTTTTTTTTTTTGCTCTGCCACAGGTCATGGAAGTATCTTCAGCTGCTGTCAGAATGATAACCTGCGTGGACTGCCAGTATCCTTCTTTATGATTCATATCCTTGGAGGAATGGTGCTCTTTATGACCGATGGCATTGTGGTGAGTGAGAGGTACAAATAAATCACACGGTATTCATTTCTCATGCATTATTTCCCAAATAAAAGTTTATTAGTCGATACAAGATATGCATCCCATAAAGCATAGAAAATAGAGTGCATGAAATAAGATGTTTTTTCTTCTCAGGGAGCATATGCTGGCTTTGTGTACACCTACGCTGTGGCCCCACCGATGTCGTTACCGAACAAGATAGCGGGTTACCTGGCTAGTATTTTCTGGGCAGCGATCACAGCTGGACGCCTCTTGTCTATTCCTCTCTCATATCGTTTCCAGCCTGTACGGCTACTCATGTTCAACCTGGTAAGGCCAACCAAGAAGTTCGAAGCACATTTTCTTAGTATTCCACATGGTGCCTTGATCGTACTTCTTTAAATTTAGGGGATTTTTTTTCTTGTTACAAACACAAACCTAAACGTATTTGGGGGATTTTATGTAATAGAATAACTGGTGATTAACTGAAGAGGAAAGAATAGGATATGTTCATTTTCATTCCATCTTGTTGACTTACTTTATTAAAATGCTTATTATCTCAATTAGAGCTTTGAGTTTTTTAGGCCCATGTAGTTGTTGAACTCATGCCATTCAGATTTCCTGCCAGTCTCCTGTGAGACTCAAGGAGGAGAAACTAAAAACTTCTGTTTTCAAAACAAGTCACAGAATTTTTGTTAGAATAAAGTCTAAATTAACATAGTTATATTCTATCAATTGGAAAATGCATTTGAATTATTCTCTTTCAACAGATCAGAAGTGCTTTTTGAAAATAACCCTAATGCAGGTACTAATCACACTTTTTATCAAGCCTACATTACCACTTTAAAAAAAAGTTTTTCAAATTAGTTTGATGTAACATACTGATCCGAAATGTCATGCTTTCATTAGCAGTAAGCAGAAAATCATCATAATTACCATAAAAAAAAAGCTTGAACAAAACTAGTGCCATCTAATTTAGTGAATCGAGTTTCTGAAATGAACCTTTCAGTTATAATCTAATTTAGGAAATTTTACTGACAATACACTTAAATGGAAAACATTCAGGTGGAGCTCTGGCTGTATGTTTAGAGCTGCTGAGAGGTGATCTCTGTCCCAATTTCAATCCATTTGTAACCTCTAACAGGTTTTCCTTGAAGGATTGTCCCATATTTAGCTCTATCCATCTTTACCTCATTATGCAGCGAGCACTATGATTCATGTTGGACATGATGTCTGCAGGACGTTCCACTGCACGTAGCATTTACTAATTAGGTGATCTCTGAAGTCAATTAGTTGCACTTGATTTTATTTAGGAATATTTAATAGCTGCTAAAGACCTATTCAATCCACAGTTTCAGATGTATGTTTGTTAAAATGCATCCGTTCCTTCGACTTCTCGATGATTCACTTTGTGTTGGATTCTCACAGAAGTGTGTGGTTCTACCAAGATATTTCTCCTTTTCACTGAAACTCCATGCTCTTAGACAAACCACTCTCTTTATTTTTGCAGGCAGGAGCTATTGTTACTGTGTTGATGCTGCTCATTTTCTACACCAGCAGCACCTTTCTGTTTGTCGGAACCTGTTTATGTGGACTTTTTTTGAGCAGCATTTTCCCCTGTATGCTTGCCTACACTGAGGATATCCTTGATTACCAGGGTATAACTTTTTTTTTTCTTTTACTTCAAAATAGTGGTGCGCTGGTGGAATGAAATGAGACAGTATGAATTTGTTTTTGCAGGATGTGCAACCTCTGTCCTGGTGACAAGTGCAGGGATGGGAGAGATGGTAATGCAGGTCCTGGTTGGCTCAGTAAGTGCCTCGGTTGTTTTAAAAAAATTGTAAATGAGGAGAATTATGTCCTTAATCACAAACATATGGCAGGTGTTGATTTAGATTTATGTTTGGTAGTTGAATTTTTATATTTTCTCCACAGATCATTCAGAGTGAAGGAAGCTACAGCTTCCTGTTGTGCGGAATGATAATCGCCTGCATTGGGTTTATCCTCTTCTTTGGCCTCCTGTTTTTCCATCGAATGCACAGAAATTACCTCACAGGTACGTCATGAACCAGAATCATTAAACATTTCTTTTAAGTCTGTAGATTTAGGTGTGTTAAAGGTTTTTTTTTTAACACTCTCTCAAAACTCTCTTTTGTTCTTCTAAAATCGGAACAGGAACATTAAAGAAGTCAGCAATGGTAGAAGAACCAGGAGCAGACCAGAACGGCTCAGCCAAAGCAGAACAGAAAGAGAATGACGACACTGTGACAATTTCATAGTTTAGCTTTTTTAAATCTTCTATTCTGTAAATCAAAAAAATAAACAAATAAATGCATTAGTCACAAAGGTTTCCCAGTTTTTATAGCTAGATTGTTAGAAATGAAAAAGGATAGTCCGAGTTTTGGAAAGTGTTCGTGTGCTAACGGGTAATAATGAATTAATAATGAACATTAATCCTGTCAAATTAATGTTCATTAAAAGCCAATAAAATTCAATTTCTGAATTGAATTTTATTCAATTCTCACAAAGCATCAGCAACACAGTCAAATCACAATCTGGAGACAAATTGAGTCTGAGAACCTATTTAGACACCAAACATTTGAAGATAAACATGTTTGACATCTCTAGTAATGCAGAAAGAAGGAAGGTGGTGCGTCATAATCAGAGATTTGCAATCAGTTTAAATAATTCACATAAAAATTAGAGAACTTCCCAAATGAAGACTTCCTTTACTGCATTTCTTCTTTGTCTTTAAAAGCTTACATGATATTTTCTGGAGCCAAATGGTGCTCAGAGGAAACTGGAAAGCAGAAGTGATCCTGTTTAGTTCCGCAGGTCATATTGGTCTGTTTTTGAGGGACTATCTTAAAAATGTAATGAAAGAAAACAAATTTCCACAGTTTCATTAATGAAAAGTTGGAGTAAAATCTACTTGGTCCAAAATTCCATTATATTCGTCCTACTTTGCACTATAGAGAACCCTCTATGACTGTTTTGTCATAGATTACACACTCTGTACACTAGGCATCTGTTAAACATATTTGAGTATTTCATCTAAAATAATTGTCCTAGACTCCAAAAGTGATGCAAAAGCAAGTCTGACAATCTATCATAATTACCAGGGTAAATTAGTAGTGGTTTCTCTGGGTTCAGTGATTTTGAAAATAAACCAGTTTAAATCCTATAATTTAAATGTCATTGTGTAATTAGTGTTTCAAAGAATAAACTTTGGTTTTCCTCAAGACTCAGTTCTTCTTTTAGTTGTACCTTTTCCAACACTACAGTCTTGGTATATGGGGTATGTTGGCGGACAGTATGAAAAGTTGCATTACAAACAAAACTGAGTCAATTTGTTTGTCACTCTAAGGCCTTGTGATAATTGTGGTAGCCCAGTGACTCCTGGAAAGCTTCATCATTGTTCCAATTCTTTCTCCATTTCTGAATAGTTATGCAAAATTGAGGTAAATGATGAAGAATTTGTTCACATGGAAAAAATATTGTATGTGGAAAATACATAGAGTGTTGATCAACTGGCGAGAACACTGTCTAGTACATCAAACTTTACATGATGTGGTTTGAGAAGATGGTAAAGAAAGCTGGGGTAGCTAAGCTGATTGGAGTTGTCCGGAGTTCAGTTCCTGGTCAAGGGCCATTTGCATGTCTTCCCCTTTCTCTCTCCTAACTCTTTCGTGTCAAATTAATGTTCATTAAAAGCCAATAGAACCTAAAAAAGTATTTTAAAAAAGAAAGCTGTATGGAAAACATAGACTGAGAAAACTCCACAGAAACTTAATCTCACAAAGCATCAGAACAAAGTAAAAAATTCTTCAGTTTACAAGGGAAGTTTTGATCATAACATATGATTCATCACAAGATCAGTCCATTGGGGAATCCCAGCACAAAGATCAGAATACCATGTAAATAATGAAAAGCAACCAGAGCAGTTTATCACCAACATTAAACATTAATATAACATGAATAAAGTATGATAATGTAACTTTGCATAGCTCAACATAAACAAATCCATAAACAAAAGTAGACTTACGCAAATAAACTTTGTCAACCAGCCTGTGAGTAACTTTGTTGCATAATCATGAGGGACAAGAGGAAGCCTCCAGTTGCCCAATTTGCTGTCGTACTTCACATTGTTCCCTGCGGCTACACCATGAGAACGTCAGCTTGTTCTGCCAGCAAAATTTGTGGTAATTTTTACAGTGCTGAAACAGATTAATAATAAGATGTCTGAGTATTTAATGGTACTGACTTTGTCTTTTGCAGTTCCTGTTCTCTGTCTTTTGTTGCTAATGAAGAATAAAGTGGACTCAGTTGACCTGTTGGCGCCAGAAGAAGTAACGGCAACACCTGGTGGATTGGTGGAAATCGCATGTCAGTACGATCTTCAGTTTAAGGAAAGTCCTAAATACTGGTGCAAAGGATCAGTTTATGAACTGTGTAGAATACTAGTGAAAACCAACCGGAAAACACAAAGTGACAGATACTTAATTGCCGATGATAGGGAAACAGGCGTCTTTACCGTAACTATGACTTCACTCATGGAAAAGGATGAAGATAAGTACTGGTGTGTAATAGCCAGGTTTGGAAGAAACGTCTACAAAGGTGTCAGGCTTGTCATCACTCAAACAGGTATTTGAATCAACACAGACTTTACATTATAACATCTAGGATGGTGAGTCACTACTGAATTTTGATTGTTTTTGCTTTGATTCTACATTAATTACTGTTTGTCATTTAATTACACTACTTGTTAATTTTACAACCCCCAAAAAACTATTTTTTTCTAGTTTGGTTTGAGTAAATGTCTTTGAAAATATAGTGCAATAAAAATGCCTCAATGACCTTTAAATTGAGCAGATTCTTGAAAGAACCACTGTTAAAAATTCTGGGACATTCAAATTTTTGGTATCTTCTGGTCGACTCCTGTTCCTAATGTGGATTCTCTCAGACTTTGATTGGTTTAACATTAATTTTATGGCATTTTAAACCAGAAAGTGACTAATGTTTTGTTTAGGTTACCAAACATTTGGTTGATATCTGATTTAACACCCTTCGTTACTGTTGCTAGGTTGGGTGTTGGTAATGCAAACTCTACATCCAAATGTTGAGGAACTTCATAGCAACAGTGAAAACAACAGTGCAATACTGCAGCCCACAACAATTTTATAATGACTACGACGATCACTGATAATAGCAAAATGGAAATTCATATTCAGCATATGACACAGTATAAACTAGTATTTTTCTGAGTTGACTTCTGAATGATTCAGTGATCAAATTATAGCTGCTGGAAAAATGTTTAGCTTGATTTACAGTTTGGTAAAGCTTGATCAGATTGTTGCATAATTCAAAATGGTTATCTGTAAAATATGTGCTTCTTTTTGTCTTTTCTCTACCCCAATAAACTGGGTCCTTTTTTTTTTTACCAAATCAAATGTTTGATTAAACAATTCTGTCCCAACACCACAAAATCCTGAATTTTCTGTTGAAGAAACAAGCAGAACTGTTTTATATCTGGTATAATATTGTGAAATTTGCTTATTAACCAAATATAGTAAATTTATTTTTGATGCATTATGTTGTTTTCTGCAGCTACAACACCAAGCACCACAGAAAGTAGCTTCTTTGCACAGCAGGAAACAAGGTGGGTGTTAAAAATATTTAAAATTAATGATGAAAAACATATTGTTGTATACTCAGCAATTTATCATTTATTTATCAAAAACTATGCTTAAAAAACAGTGATTTCCTATGCACAGTGAATGTAAACTAATTGTAGTGCATGTTTTATGCTGTGTTTCCTCTAGTCTGTGGGCATCTCTACGGTGGTTTCTCTTTTTAGTGATATTAGGGTGTTTGGCAATTACACATGTGGTTGTCCGGAGAATGGAGGCTTCAAGGAACCCAGAATCAGAAACGACTGATATGTAAATGAGCTGGTTTGTGGGTGAATCATAAACAAAGTCATAAACATTCACTTTTGACATCAAGAACAATGGAGCCGCTAAAGAAGACATGGAGTGGACATTCATTTTGTGTGTGAACACAGGTTTTACATCCTGGTTCATCGACCATAACAATTGGAGAGACACAACACCAACAATTGTTTTAAGCCCTGTCAAAGTCATTTATCACAAAAAGCAAAGGTAAAGAAGGATGTTGGTGACAACTCGGGTGTAACCGGCCAGTGTAAGCCCAGAAATCACAGATCAGGAGAGCTTTTTAATGGCAGGTGTACCGGAAGTCCCTACTATATATAACATTTGGGAACACCAAGAACTGCAGCAGCAGGTGGCCGTCACAGGAGGAGTAGGGGGTTCCATTTGTGTCAAAAATATGTTTGTATGGCGTTACCCTATATCAATCCAAGGGGAAAGAATCTATTAAGATGTTAAATTTTTTAATGTAGGTATTTAAATTGATAAAGAAACGTTAGTTAATATTTCTCTGAGCTGAGGTGTATTTTTGTTCCTGTTTTGACTTGTTTCACTTTAAATAATAACAGAACCTTCATATTCTGAGAGTACTCTATAATGGTATAATGTAACAGCCTCTTATGATATGCAGGTAGAATCAGCATATTGTACCTGATACTAATCAAAACTTTGACACGTTGATACTAATCAAAACTTTCTTTAAGCTTCTTTTAAAAAGTGAATTATATTCTGTAAAACAGACTGTGATGATTATTAATTATGTTAGATAAATGTCATACTATCTCAGCTGTTGCTACTGAAAGTGAAGTAATTGTGAGTCTGAAGAATTGTTTAGAATCAATTGTTTTCTTCATGTGCAACACAGAAGTAGTGAAATACCATGAACATAAAATTAAAGCAATTCAGTTAAATTCAGCCTTGTTTACATTAATTCCTCTGTTTTTTGCATTTGTGGCATGTAAGATGCCTGAGTGAAGTGGCTGCATCAATAAAACATGTTCAGGCCACTAGGAAAAGAAAAGTTGTGGTTAAATGATGTCAGTGGCTGTGGATATCGTTTTCTCAGCCAAATTCAAAGAAAGTTACTGAAACAGAAAACACTCAACCACTTAAATTGAAGCTTTAAGAGGCCGAGTTGTCAATGTAATCATTCTTTCTGCCTCTAGTATCCTTGAAGAGATCAATTTTCTGATATTTCCCTGCAAGTAAAGGAAAACAATATTCTCAGTCTGCTTTCACTGCCCTCTGACAGTGTAGAAAATCAATACATTTAGGAAAAACAATTTTCTGTGGTTTGTTGCAGCATACATACACACTTGCTTCCTGAGGATACAAATACATATCACTATCAAAACTATAGTACAAAAACAGTAGAAATTAAAAACCAACAGTAATTTTAAAGACACCAGCAAGACTTTTACGGTAAAATCAATCATACTCATTTTGAATGTTATCACCTACAAATTGTGTCATTTTTTTCAGGTGCTTTTTGTCACTTTGTCATAAATGGTCAATTCTTCATGATAGCATGTGTCTCTCAAATGCTTACTACTAAATTTAGAAACCTCTAGTAACATCATTTACTACAAGCAAGTGATTCGAATTTTATTGAACATTTCCTTTTGTATATTTTTCTTTACTTTCAGTGTAATTCAAATGCTTTAAAATCTGTTAAAAAATCATTTGCTGCCATAATATTTACTGACGCTGACACAGCAGCTTGATTTTTTGCGGAACATAATTGTTGCTACATGTATTGTGCCATTGACTTTCCAGCAATGTAGCAACAGAGGAAAGGAAAACACTTCTGTCATAGCTGATTGTGGGCTTGAGAATACAGAACATACGCACAAAAAAGAAAGAGAGGTACTTCCAATATTAAAAAAATAAAATAAAAGTTAATAGCAGGAGAAGGAGAACATTGTTAGCAGTAGTATCTCACCTAATGCTCTCAACCAGGAAGATGTCACCGTGCCTAATGTAGCTTCTGAGAAAAAAATAAAGAGAAAACATAAAATTAAGAGTTGAAATAAACAAATAATGCAAATTGGAGAGAAGGAAGAGAATGTAGTTGAGAGGTCTTAAGTCAGAGAAGTGATTTGACTAATAAATAATTAGAATCAAACTGGATTGTATATTTGACATCAGCTGGAGATTTCCCGAGTGCTACAGCATGAGTTTTGCTATGATTTAGAGCTGTACGCTATAAATAAACTAAATTCAAGAGGATGGAGCTAAACTGAGTAATGAGAAGGACGCAAGGTCATGGAGGTTTGAGGTGACATCACCATCCCTGCTGCAGGAACCACTTGGAACCACTTGCAAGACAATGCACAAAGTCAGCCAACATAACGGAAAAACTGTGCTTTTTCAAAATAAGAGCATCCGGTGAATGGTTTCCAGTTTGAGATATAAAAGGCACATCCACGGACAAAACATTATCGATTTATAAAATTACATATAATGTCGCAATTTAAGTGTCGCATGCGCTGCTACTTTGAGAAATATGTAAATTTATAGTGTGCTGACAGCGCCAGGAGACTTATTTTGAAAAATAATTTCCGGGCTTATTCAGTGTAACTTGACTGCTGTGGTGGACGCGAGGGGCTCGGCTTTCTGACTGAACCAAGTTTCAGGTCGCTGGTGCCAACGCCCGGCGAAAACAGCCAACTTATCAAGTACAAAAACGGAGGTACGTAGCTTTGTACAAAACCTACACATACATCTAAAGTTATTTGATGAGTGGGCGTTTATTACAGTCGTTGTTTTGGATTTTGTAGTTTGCTAGTAGCAGCAAAGTCTACACGGAGACCTAAACTATCGTTACCGACTGGTGGCTAAGCTAACGTTCTGTTAGCACTATGTGGCATTAGCCAGCACTGCAGTAGCATAGTTTGCTAAACGATACAAGCGAAGGTTTTATGTTCCATTTGCTAATAGCTCAACTAATCAAGTAAATATGATATAGTTATATTTTAGAACTACTCCTAAGTAGCCTTTTCAGCTAAGTTGTTTTGCGGACAAGTGATTGTTCTTTAGCTAGTGTTAGCTTCGAGACAGCTTTGACAATCATGGGGTGTGACTGAACAAGCCAATGCTGCCTTTTCATGGCATCACACCAGTTTATCAAGTTGTACCGGGATTTTGAAAGGCAATGCGCACTACATAGTTATGTCCAGAGTTTGTCTTTATTCGAAGATGTATGTCGTAATCAATGTAAGCTTTCTCCTCCCCCTCTTCCTGCAGCTAGCGTGATTGTCAGCAGCAGCCGAAAGCACAGAGATGCAGACTATCAAGTGTGTTGTGGTTGGAGATGGAGCAGTGGGAAAAACCTGCTTACTGATTTCATACACCACCAACAAGTTCCCTTCTGAATATGTACCAACAGTGAGTTTTATTGCTCAGCCCATTTAAAAGATTAATTTGAAAGCATGACCTGACAGTGACCATTTCACTCTTTGATTGCAGGTGTTTGATAACTATGCAGTAACTGTAATGATCGGGGGTGAACCATACACCCTTGGCTTATTTGATACAGCAGGTATATATGTAGTATTTTTTTCTTAAAATGCTAATTAAAGTGGTTTTTTTTTCTTCATTATGCTAAATTTAAAGTCATGCACTTTCTCACAAATTAACTACAAGTTGTGACAACCGTCTGGAACTGGCATGTGGTTATATTGTATGGTTTAAAGACATGTATGTAATATGAAAATGTAGATTATACTTGATTGTGGTTGTATCTTGCATAGAGCTTACATATTTGTACATTTAAATGTTTCTGTGTAGGGTTAGATGTTAGTTATATGCAATGAATTTCATCAGAATGTATATGTTTAATGGATAAAGATGAATTTGACTATTTTTGTCTGGTAAAATGTTCGGAATTACTACTATACAAATAAACTGAACTGAATTATGCAGGATCTGTGCAGATACATTGCTTACAGACATTAATAAACGTAAATTCCAATTAGATGTAGCCATTTGCAAGACTATGGTTAATTCCACAGTTGTGTGTTTGTACAGCTATAGCCACAGAAATTCTTCTTGTGTCCTATTTTACTTTGGTTTTAATATTGCAAAAATGTTGGTATATGTCTGGACAGGCTTTCTGTTGTATGCTGTAAAAACAGAACAACACAAAACTCTTAAGTACTATTTGCATGTGAGCGTAGGTTTGTTGCATTGCCAGTGGTCTGTGGCTTTTAAGTGTGTAATGCTAGAAATTTAGAAATTTTGTGTTTTGCTCTGAGGGATGGCATGTCAAATTTCTGTCTTATCTGTGTGTAGGTCAGGAGGATTACGACAGGTTACGACCACTAAGCTACCCTCAGACCGATGTCTTCCTAGTCTGTTTCTCTGTTGTTTCACCTTCCTCATTTGAGAATGTTAAAGAAAAGGTAAGCAAAAAAAGTTAATTTAAAATAGGGTATTCACACCTAAAACCTTAGTGAACACTTTTTTTATTATTATTATTTGTAAATTAATTTCATGGTTTAGATAATACACTTAATAAAAACTGTTTTTCAGGAGTTTACTTTTAGTTTACAGAGCATTTGTCCAGCTTATTCATGTTTAAATATACCTAACTTAAATTGCCATTTGTTCTAGTCCATGGCATCAAGTAATTTTAGTGACTTTAAGAAGTTACTTTCTTAAATCCTTGCCAGATAGTTCTGTAATCATGTGCTGTCATCTCCAAAACTTCATTAAAAACATATTAAATGGCTTCAGAAAACATGAGCAGATCAGGTAAACTTGGCCTAAAATGTCTCAGGTTAAGTTCAAAGCCTCTCATGTTATGCATAAATTGTACATTGTAGACCAATTTGTGCTTAATTAAACTCATCAAGGCACAGTTTGTTTCAAAAGACGATTGTGCAGCTTCGCCTGCAACTGATGGCCTAATATAGCTTCTGCGATATGTCAAACCTGCAAGCGCTTGCTTTGAGGAAGCGCTTGCAGGTTCCTCAAGCCTGCAAGCGAAAGAGTTTGTAGGCACTCACTGAGTGCCTACTGAGTGTAGGCACTCAGTACAGACAGAATGCATGCATTCTGTTTGTACCGTGAGCGACGCTGCACACATCTGTCTCCCATAGTCAACCCAGACATGCTTCAAGGCTCTCAGTTGATCAGCTCCCAGATTTCAAGGAGCAATAGTACGATCTCCAAACCAAATCCCAAGATGGACGACAGATGCAAAACAAATCTTAAACAAACATTGTTGAAGATATTGCTAAATTGCCTCTGAATGTTTGTTTCACAATGACTTGCATTTCCTTTTTTTGTCAAGTAACATGTCTGGTATTTAAAGCTGCAGTAAGTAGCTTTCATAGATATGCTTTTTTCACATGTTTTTTAAAACTGTAACTCTGCCATGACAGCATAATAAATATTAGACAGTCAGTGGAAAAAATGAAAAGCTCTCAGTTACAATTATGTATGCACTTTTCAGTATAATTATTTGACCTATTTTAAATAAAATAAACCAATAATTTCCCCTGTGATTGTACATTGTGCAAACATTGTTAATTTAACAGATATCAACAAGAACTTTTGCCCACAGGAAACTGTAAAATCTGGGTTAAAGGAGAAAAAAGGAAAAAATATAAACCAGCTAAATGGTGCTGAAATAAACATTTCAATAATTGAATTTTTGGAGTACTTATTTGTGACATCTTTTGCAACTTGAGCAACAAGCACATGACTTTATTTATAGAAACATCTGTGTGTTATTTAGTGAGAGTAACAATTTTATTTCTCCCTTTCCTTCTCCAGTGGGTTCCTGAAATCACCCACCATTGTCCCAAGACCCCATTCCTGTTGGTAGGCACTCAGATTGACCTCCGTGATGACCCCTCCACAGTGGAGAAGTTGGCCAAGAACAA